AAAAAAAAAAAAAAACCACCGTCTGAATATAAGACAATTATGGTGTGAATTATATATTCCAGACTTAATATAATTCCTGCATTTCTTAATTATTAAGATCTTTAAATTTGAATGTAGATCATGTAGAATCGTATTGAGTCTATAAATGTATATATATATATGTAATTAACAAAGTTTTTCCTCATTGAATTATGCGTTAGTCGTTAAATACTCAGACGTGCTGCGGCATTAAAAACGTCCACGCCATCGGGTCTGGTCGATGACCACATGGTCAGGTGACGTTTTTTTACTCCACAGAAACAGGAATCATTTTCAGATTGATTCTGCTTTTTAAAGTAACAGAAATATTAAAAAAATATTTTGCAAATTATCCTCAGGTACTTTGGTCGTTAAAATATACGAGTTCAAAGTTTGGGAGACAATTAAAAAAAAAGCTCTTTATTTATTAACACAAACTTTGAGTTTTAATAAATAAACTGGGGCTCGACAAGTGGTTTTATAAATTCATATATCTGGACATGAGGTTTATAAATTAATGAAATTTGACTTGAGCTCTGGAAATAAATACCAGGCTTGGCTTCTACAAATGAAGACAAATTGAAAAGCGTAAACATTTTTCAAAGCTGCTGGATGTTGGAGACGACACACAGACCAGATTCAGAGACTTTAAATATTAAAATCCAAATCTTCTGGAATAAGTCTCAGTAAGACCAGGAGATACCAGGTCCAGAAGAAGAAAAATACTTAAAAAAAAAAAAGAAATAAATCCAATATTTTTCACTCCTCTGGAGTGGGAACAGCAACATCTCATCGTGGAGAAATGTAACGTAAACTCCTAAAGTTTTACAGCCTCTGTCACAGCGGCCGCTAACGCGACAACATCGTGCCGTTATTCTCCATATTGACACGGCGTCCGTTAGGGTTTGGATTGAACCGGTTTAATAAAAACTAATCTGCTTCTGCTCGCTAGAAAACTCAAATGTTTCACAGGAGAAAAGCAGAAAACGCGGCGTATAAGACCAGTAATTACGGCTACAGCCCTGCTGGGTGTTCCACCGCTGTTCTAAAGCTGCGGCTCACAATCACGGCTAGCACGTCGGTGGAATGAGGCAATTATAAATGTTATTAGGACGAGGCGTGTTGTTTAAGTCGTGACGAGCTGCGATGGGAGGAATGAGGCAATTATAAATGTTATTAGTCGTATAAGTCGTGACGAACAGATCAGAGCTTCGTTCTCACTTCATTTGAAAAAGTCTCAAATTACAAAAAAAAAAAAACAACAACTTGAGGATTGAACCTAACGTTTTTATGGTTAATGCTAATAAGCATTAGCATCATGTATCCTGATTTAACCACCGGGTTGTTCCAACATATTTACTATGTAAATACCATGAACTGTTTGTTAAAAAATTTGTTAGAATTACAGAAATAATCGCTATTTTTTTTCGTTAAGTGCAGTGAAGTTTTTGTTTTATTTAAAAAAAAATGTCGTGTCATCCCTTCCAAAGAGAGCGGCTCTTTGAGAAAACGTTTTGCGATATGTAAAACAGCGCCCCTCTAAATGTTACATGGTACTGCATGCTGTTGTCTGTGAAGATTTAAATTTCTAACAAAGTTGCTCCAACCTTCGCAGTATCTCTCAGGACCTGATTGGTCTTTTTTGTTTTTTGTTTTACTCTTGACATAAAAGTAAATAGATGTTTACATAAAGCAAACAAATCTGTCAACTCTGGTGTTTGTACTGGTTTTAAAACTTGACAAAAAATAATCTTTACGAGAACAGAACCAGGTGGAATTCGTTGAAGATTAGTTGTGAGTTTACCGTGGAATCACGTCAGTAGTCAGGATTAAATATCTTAATTAACACACACCTAATATTCAATCATACTTACGCGCAGTATTCGCTGCTAACGTCCCCCGGCGTCTGACAAATTATCTCCTTATACACTAAGTGTAAACACAGCACAAAGTGAGATTTGCATAGCGAGCAACGAGGAGCTGCTTAAAGAACTCACAGCTCGGCTCTGACAACCAGCCGTCAGCGACTATTACAGTAGCTGTCGCGGAGACGCAGCGACTCTCGTGCCAAGACGTTTCATTTAGGCCTGACTCACGTGGTGAGCGCTGCTGCAACAGAGCTGCTGAACTTTTTTTACCCAGCAGCCCCAGACCACGGCGAGGCCTGTCACTTTAACAGTCCACGGGTTCTGCTGCGGTTCCGTCCACGCCGTTCATGTTAATGCACTTCCATTTCAGCCATTAAGCCCCGGGAGTTGAAGTGAATTGGTTAATCACGCTGCCGTTCGTCATCAGCTGACAGGAGTGGGATTCCAGCGTCGCTTTTCTTTACCGTTAGATTTTCTATTTCCTTTTTTTTTGTTTTTTTTTTTTTTGGTCGTACTCTGCGAGCGGCCGCGCCTCAGATATTCCTCCTCTAATCGTTAGCAGCATAGCCTCATTAGTTTACAACAGCTTAGCTTCAGTAGTGGGGCCACACATTGGGAGAGCGGTCAGTGCTCTTGCCTTACAGCGCCTAAGTCAGCTGGTTTGATCCCGGCTGATGAATGGATTAGCTTCAGGTGTGAATGTCAGCGTGAATGGTTGAACGTTTGGGTGAAAACTCCAGTGTTTGTCCAGTTTCCTGATGCTCTTCCTCACAGACCGTAAATATACGTTTTCAAATTAAAAGCACACCCGTCTCTCCCCCGTCCCTCCCCCCTGCAGCTGAACTCACTGCAGGTTTTTTTTCTTTTTTTTTACCCGTTTCTCCTCCTGCTGTGTCACACACACACATATATATTACATTTATATCTGTGACCTGCAGTTATATGTGGAGCCAACCTTTCCTTCAGAAATAGACTTTTCTTAAAGTAGGCTACAAATGCTTGACTAACTGCAGCCAACTTCCTGTACGTGGTTCCATGGTGACGGACTGTGTCCTGTTCACGGTGACGTGGCCTAATAACGTGGAAGTGATTTGTACGTATGGATTTTTTTTTTTCACTTTTCAGAGATTTTTGTTCCGGCCGTTTACAGCTAATCTTGACGCCATCTACTGTCGAGCATCAGGAACCAGAAAATGAAATGAAAATGGGTCAAAATGATAAAATTACTTTGACGCCTTCCAGAAATACCGTTGCTGCTCCCAGGAGCTGACGATAAATGAGCAAAAAAAAAAAAAAGAAGTGATTTCTTTTAACAGGATTCGGATCGGATTTTTAGATGAGGGGGGACTGATGAGGGGGTGTGAGGAGTTCGACTCTTGTGATTTGAGAGTCTGAGCACGAGGTCTAGTAAACTGCATCTGTAGCTTGGCTTTCAGCCAGTGTCGTCATGGCGATAACAACAGAGTTGATCATCTGTACGAACGACAGAAGAAAAAGGAGGATAAAATTTACATTTCGCACGTTCCACCTTGACTAGTGGGCAGTAGTTTAACGGAGATGCTAAAAATAAGGTGCATTAGTTCTGGTGGGACGGATGGCCT